TGAAATAAAACATTCTAAAGGATAAATAAAAAACAATCATACCAATGAGGATGCTTTTCATCCAATTATTAAAGTTCCTTAGGTAAAAAATTCGACTTTGGCTACGCTTCTCCAAGCCAACTTCCTGAAGTTCATTATAGTGGGCAGCCACTGTTGAGCTGTGTCCTTCTTCTAAGTTCTGAAAATAAGAGAATGGAACAACATTAAGGATTAGAACATGGCAAAAATAAACCTAAAAGAGCATCTGATAAATAAGGATAAAATACTAATGAAATTGGTAAATTTCATTAAACAATGGCATTAGCCACAGAAATCCCACTAATTATAATCAGATGTAAGCTTGTTTTCCCATTCCCTACTTTTAAAAAAATCTCTAGGTTTAAAATTTTCATCTTGATTTTTTGTCTATATAATTTTACTATCAATGTTTTAATAAAACAAGTACTCTTCCAATGTTCTAGTTTATTCAATTCAATAAATTCCAGTCAGTGGATGGGATTCCTCTAAGAAAATAAAATAGGAATGAGTAATATGTATTATTCTATATAATAAAAGGGTAATATGCAAATTGACCCTAAGGGGGGAGGGTCACGCACACTGATCACCAGGGAGCAGATGCTCAACGCAGGAGCTGCCCCCTGGTGGTAAGTGCACTTCCACATGGGGAGTGCCGATCAGCCAGAAGCCGGCTCATGGCTGGCCAGTGCAGTGGCAGTGGTCGGAGCCTCTCCCGCCTCCGTGGCAGCACTAAGGATGTCTGACTAATGGCTTAGGCATGCTCCCCTAAGGGCTCCTGGGCTGCCAGAAGGATGTCTGACTGCCAGCTTAGGCCCGATCACCTGGGAAGTGAGTCAGCAGGTGGACATCCCCTGAGGAGTTCTGGACTGCGTGAGGGTGCAGGCTGGGCTGAGGGACCCCACCCCCCGAGTGCACAGATTTTTGTGCACTGGGCTTCTAGTATAATTATAAAATAGCTGTGACCATTACATGAGGTCATACACAGAAAGGGATTAGAACTCAATAAGCTATGTTCAGTGCCAGTGATTCTTACTATTATTTGCTATTAATCTATTTCAACATTTTCAATTTGTGCTCCCTACTTAAGGCCCTGAGCATTTGGCAAAATTCCCATGGCAGGTACAGGGCTTCAGATGCCCATACTTCCTGTTCAACCAAAGATTTTTATTTGAGAAAAGGGTTCCACTGCTAGTAAAAGTTTGAAAACTAAGTTTATAATACAAGTTCCTCTGTTACAAGTATTCACACTCCACTAATGACAAATGCTTAGCCTATCTAAGCACACTCCTCCTCATGGCTGATGGCAGAATTTACTCATTCACTGAAGCTCTTTTTCCCTCCAGATCCAGATTTGTCTCTGATTCCTTCACAATATGGCATTCCCAGATGAAAATGACTTGCTATTCCTTGCTCTATAGTATCCCTGCTAAATATCAGGCTCCTGTGTCCACTTAGCTAAAATTGTATGCAACTACCCAAACAAGAAGTTGAAACAATACAGTTAAAGGAGTTGCAGTAAGAAAGAAATGTAAAACTGGGGATAATTTTGAATTGTATCATTTCAAGTGATACTATTTCAGATACAAAAAGAGATGAACACCTAATAAAAAATGAAACAAGGTAAATCATCTGGGCCTCATACTCTTGTCTTTTTTATATGCTAAGAAAAAGCAAACCATAAAACTAGCTTTCAAATTTCTAGTCAAATAAGAGTTCTGGTACCATAAAAGTTATCTCATTAGCACAAGTTTCACCTAAATAAAAACAATTAAAATACAAGAGTTAAAAGCTTACGCTATCTTAATACAATGAAAAAAACATTCTGAAGTTAATATGAAAAAACCGGTATTATTTCACAGCTGCTCCATATTTCAATTTGACATATTCCATTATGAATAAAATAAAATACATTCAACATACTTTCTGCTTTTCATCCTCAAGTTCTCTTTTTCTCTTTTTTGGAGTGCCATCTACAGGAGAAGGTTCATCTTTTGGAAAATCATCAGTTTCCAGCCTTCTTTTCCTTAAAATGCCTTCATCATCACCAGAACCTTTTTCCTCTGGTACAATTTCAGCATCAAGTTTTCTTTTCTTGGATGGAGTGTCTTCTCCACAGCTGGAACTCTCTTTTACAAGATCATCTGCAAATTCCATTTTTCTTTTTTGGGGAGTATCTACTTGTGTAGGAGCCTTTTCAAAAAGCCCAGTCCCAGGAGCAGTTGTGCTTTCATTAGTGCTGAATGAAGACTCTGTTACTGAATTTATTGATGCTTTCTCTTCTTCAAGAGAGATCTTTTCACATTCCTCTGCTTTTGCAGAATTTTCCATTTTTGATTACTTAAATAGATGGTAAAACTTCATGAACACTGAAATGGCAAAAATTTGATATTACTTACAATCACTTTAAAATAATTTTAACCAGAAGCTAACCATTCATTTAATTTCAGTGATCAACTAGAAGTTTCTTAAATCTCATGAAAACAATGTTAGTTAATATGTATTAATATCAATTTATGAATATACTAATGTGGGAGTACTAATTACAATCCCTAAACCCTTTTAGCAATCTTACCCATAAAAGTCACTATTGGCATTAAAACTGACAAATGAAGTGGGAGCATATAAGTTCCTTTTCTATTCTGACCCTTACTCTATAGCCTTGATTCCCAAATTGTATGCTGGGCACTATAACAAACTCATACAGGCACAGCAGGATATTTTAAAATTTTAAGGGAAGCGTAGTGATATCTGGTATCTGGAAGATATCACAGATACAGATTCAAGTAGAGCACAACTTCAGCTGAGCAGATTGCACTATATCCCTTTCAATGACATAACTTTGTGAAGCAGATATTTTTGTGGCACTGAAGAAAATCAATTAAATAGGAAATGAAGTTGGTGATGTCAAATCTTATTTCAAGGCGTGAGAAGTTTTACAGAATCCAACAGGTGCATAGATTCTATTAGTAAGGGCTCAGGGTTAACTAAAAATTAAACACAAATTTTTTTTAAATGAAGTTGCTGGGACATAAATATTTAAATTATTTTTAATGTATATATTTTTATTGATTTCAGAGAGGAAGGGAGAGGGAGAGATAGAAACATGAATAATGAGAGAGAATCACTGATCAGCTGCCTCCTGCATGTCCCCGACTGGGGATCGAGTCCACAAACCCGGCATGTGCCCTTGTCGGAATTGAATCTGAGACCCTTCAGTCCATAGGCCGATGCTCTATCCACTGAACCACACCAGCCAGGGCATACTTAAATTCTTTGGACTAAACTACTAATGAGTGGTACTGTTAGGTATTTCTTTTGGCCTGGAGACATTGAAAAAAATACACACACAAAACACACATCAGAGACACTGAGGGCAACAAGAAAAGTCTGGGAACATGTAGTTGACTTCTGAAATCCCTTAAAAGTGAAGATAGTGGCTTTGGATAAGAAGTTTCAAGACTCAGCCAGCAACTTAATAACCAATAAGACTCTTTCAAATGTTCTTAGGCCTAATGGATCTCCAGGGAAATAAGTGAACTATCTATTGAACAGGAATTGTTATGGAGATCCATTTATCGTCACTTAACATATTTTCTCAACTCTTACTACAGAAGAGCTCAAGGAAGCACTGTGCGAATTACTGTTCCAGATGCTTTCAGCTTATATATACATACGTAACTCTATTAAAATGTTAGGCTGTATTATTCAAAACAAATGGAAAAGGGAGACCAGAAGTCCAAATCAGAGGGGGGGAGAGATCACCCAAAAGAGTAATTTTCAGAATGACTACTTAAAATGATTATCTCGTAAAACTGGCCTCTCTGCAATTTATTTGCTAATAAAGAACAGAAATAGGTTTTAAATGAAAATAAACCAATGTGACTTATGACCTCTTTAGCTGTAACTAACGCCTGAAATTTATTTTGGGAATAGGTGTGAAGTTTATATGTGCAACTCTACTTCCACAGATGTGATGCCATTAAAACAATCAATGCGGTCAAAATAAATGACAATAAATTCCAAACGATGGCAGAAACAGGTGAGAATTTTTGAAATCGACCGTCAAAGTGGAACAACGAATAGACTCCAAAATGCAAGAGTGTTGCCCTTCAGAATCCTGGAGGACGGGGTTTACGGACGAGTCCACTGACATGGAGTTGGAGAGGCAAGAAAACGACCCATTCTGACCCGGCTTTCCCAGGCACCTTTACCGCAAGCCGCCTCCGCCTTTTCACTCCACAGAGAACCACCGAGCACAGGGCTGGGACCGCCGGGCTGACGCTCAACTGGGATAAGCTCTCCGTCCCGACCGGGTCAACTCGAGGGCCCAAGAAGTCGCGGCCAGGCGAGAAGGGAATTTTTCGGCCAAGTTCACCCTCTTCCGTCCCTGACGCGGCCTAGCTCTTAAGCCAAGCCTCCGGCTCAGGTTTCGGATTCGCCGCTCAAGGTACACACACGCTGCTTCCTATCTGACACTCCCACACTCTCCGCCCGACCCTGCAGAGCGGCCTAAGGCAGCTCGCCGGCCTTCTCGGGACCCGGACTCGCTAGGTCTGGAGGAGCAAGAGCGCCCACCGACTCCCACTACTGCCCATTTGGCTCCGCGCTGAGGGCACCATAAACCCCTCGCGAAGGGTACCGAAAGCACGAGGCTAAGACAAAGCGAGCTCCTATCGGGAGTCGCAGCGCCCCTTCCACCTTGATGGTGGCGGAAGACCCACAGACAAAGAAAAGAAGGGCCGCAGTCCGAGCCGCACACTCACCCATACAGCCACACACGGTTCTGTTTGCGGAAGCGGCGAGGCGCGCCACGCTTGTGTAGTGACGCCACTTCCGGGGAGGGCGCTGGTCACGTGACGTCGCTCTCGGCCGAGAGTGGAGCGACGCGCGACCTTAGCGCCGAAACTACAAGTCCCGTGGTGCTGCGCGCAGCGGCGTGCTTCGGAACGCGCCGGCGGGTCGAGCAGTCGCGAGCACGTTGCTAGTGGGCGCGGCTGGTGGGGCCAGGGGTGGTGGGAGGCGATCGTCCACCTGAGCTCGGCGGGTTCCAGCGTCCCGACCCACGCTCGGCCGGATCACTCTGTTGAGTGACACCGCTGTGGCCTCGGAGGAGCTGTCGTCTAGCCTGCGCGGCGGGAAGCGGCGGCGGCCTCAACGTCCGAAGAGGTAGCCTGGGCCCAAGACCTTTAAGGGCAACGGGAGGGGTGAAGAGGGCACCTTCAACCCGGTGCACGTTGGGGAGCAGACCCGGGCGCGAACCCGACCCCTGCCCGGACCCTCGGGCTGTGGCCGGGGTCCACCTGCGGGGATCCGGACTGGCCCGCCCCACCACCGCCGCGGCCGAAAGAGGTCACCCCCGCCCTTCTCTGTCGGGCCGGTGTCCTTGCACATCTGCCTTTGGGACTGTGTTGTAGCTTTCTGCTCTGTAACTCTGCACCCTCTGCTCTTCCCTTCCTCGGAAGCCTGCCGAGGAGGGGTCTGAGCGCCCCCGCCATCGGAGTTGTCTTGGGCAACATCTTAACTTCTCCCGAGGGATTAGCAGCTCGTTCCCTATCGCCCTATTTGGGAAGTGGCACCAGACCTCCCTCCAGGGAGGCCTTTCTGGGCTGTGAGATTCTGGAGAAAGGGCAGCCCTCACCTCGGCTAGAGAAAAGCCTCGTAGCGCGGTCGTCTGTGTTGCCTGCACTTTGATATGGGAGAGTTGCGGGAGACAGCTCTTTCTTTGTCCATCCATCCCGGGCTGTGCACTGGAGAGGCGAAGGCACCTACTGTAGTGAGGCCGGGACGCTGCGTAGTTGAGAGTCGGAGATGGGTCACAACCGACCCGGTGGGCTAAGATGATTGACGTGTGGACATAGGAACTTACTTGATTGTGCCTCAGCACCTCCCCACCTTCGTAGTGTAAGAACGTGAGCACGTTTGCAGTCCATCTTGAATTATACTTTCCCAAAATCAATCCCTTTACAAGCAGCTTTGAAAGAGTGTTTCGCTGTCCTTCCGACTGGTCAGTAAGGGCAGTTATGTTAATGAGTAGACTTCGCTTTGGGGAAGGCAACATTCGCAGCGTGTACTTCCTTTATAGCCCTGTCACTTCTAAAATGTGGACCCAAGAATGAATGAGGCCTGTTTTTAACATAAATAATTTTAGGGGAAAAATTTTTTTTTAATTTTCTTATTAGATTAAATGCTTCTTCCTATGTGTTTGCACAAACTCCACCATGGATTGATGGTGTGCATGAGATATGTAGAGCTCACGTTTTGTAGTTTTTATAAAGCTCAACTGGAAGGCATGTAAATTCAGTTGAGAATAGAAGAACTCTTGAAAATAGTAATAATGGAGGGAGTAAATGGACCACCAGGTAAAAATGTTTTGAAAGTTACTGCTGGTGTTATTTTTCCCATTATTACATGTATAATATCTGTTTTTCTGGAAATTGAATTAAAATTAAAGTAGCTGATATTTTAGTACCTTCTGCGTGACAGCCAGATTAAGTGCTTTACACATTTGAACTAATTCGATTCTTACATAATCCAGTGGGATAGTTATGATTATTTTTGTGTTAGAGATGAAGGTTAAATAACTTGGCCAAGGTTGTGCATTTGGGAATTAGTGTAACTAGGATTTGGACCTAGGCGGTCTAGCTCCAAAGACCAGACTATGCTAATAATGAAACAGTGCCTGCTTAGAAAGCCAAACTCAGAACTAGAAATTGGCTGACAAACAGTAGATTTTTCAGAAAATATTTTGATAATTCTTAATGCTTGATGTTTAATGTTCAGAGAAAAAATAGTTGTATAAGATCCCCCAAGACAGGATCATCATTTTGTTCAGGGATTTAACCTGAGTGTCTTTAATAGTGCCTGCCTCATAGTGGTGCTTGCTAATTGAATGAATGAATTGCCAAGAAAGGTCTTTAAAAAGCAACTTGTTATAAAAGTTCAGATGAATTACTTCAACCCGTTTTAAGATTGCTTTATGTGCTGTTTTGATTATTTGGCCCACTATTCACCCACTCACACCACCTGGTTTAGATTTCTCCTGGTTTGAATTATATTTTATCAGTGAAAGAAATGAAGTAGCAACTTGTAAATTTTCTGGTCAGAGTAAAGGCAAGCAACTGATTTAGTAGTTACCATTCCGTTTTTTAAGTCATTGGTTCTCAAAGTTAGAACACTCTGACTTGCAATTTTAAAGTGTAATTTCTGGTGTAGAGTCGAAGATCACTTTTTTTTTTAATCCTCACCGGAGGATATTTTTTCCCCATTGATTTTTAGAGTGAGAGGAAGGGAGGAGTAAAGAGAGAAAAAGAGAAACATTGATGTGAGAAAGACACATTGATTGGTTGCCTCCTGCACATGATCCAACCAGGCCCAAGATAAAACCTGCAACCTAGGTCCATGCCTTGACAGGGAAATCGAACCCACGCCCCTTCCATCAGCACTCTAACACTCTAACCACTGAGCAACCTACCAGAGCGAAGATCCATTTTTGAAATATAAACACAGTTTTTAAAATGTAGATACAATGTTGTAGCTTCCTAAGAATGATATTCTTGGAGGTAAGAAAGAAAGGTGGTTTATGGAAGGTTTGTTTTTCTAAAAAGTCTTGGAGGAAGGACTGTCCCTCCAGTCCACTCACAAAGTGCCCTTACTAAAATTTTACTGCCTTTTGGATCACATAAGATAGTCTTGTTTAAAAGGTTTAAAAGCTGAAAGTAAGATTGGTTGAGAAATCTCTAAGTTTATTATGTTTAGAGATTCATTTTACATGTTAACTAGGCTATAGTACCTAGTTATTTAATCAAACACTAATCTAAGTGTTATTGTGGTGGTATTTTGAAGATGTGATTAACATGTAAAATCAATGGACTTTAATAAAGAGATTACCCTCAATAATGTGGGTGGATCTTATCAAATCAATTGAAGGCCTTAATTTCAAACTGAAGTATCTGAAGAAAAAATTCTTAAGATTGCAGTATTGCCTGGCCAGCGGGGCTCAGTGGTTGAATGTCGACCTAGGAACCAGGAGGTCACAGGTTCAATTCCTGGTCAGGTCACATGCCTGTGATTCGGGCTCAGTCCCCAGTAGGGGGCATGCAGGAGGCAGCCAATCAATGATTCTCTCTCATCATTGATGTTTCTATCTCTCTCCCTCTCCCCTCCTCTATGAAATCAATAAAAATATATTTTGAAAAAAAGGTTCTATTATTTTTTGTTAACGATCACTCATTTATTTCAGCCCTTTGTATTCAACATGTCTCTATTGAAATAAACCTACGTTTCTAGCCCTAACCGGTTTGGCTCAGTGGATAGAGCGTTGGCCTGCAGACTGAAGGGTCCCAGGTTCGATTCCAGTCCAGGGCATGTACCTTGGTTGTGGGCACATCCCCAGTAGGGAGTGTGCAGGAGGCAACTGATCGATGTTTCTCTCTCATTGATGTTTCTAACTCTATCCCTCTCCCCTCCTCTCTGTAAAAAATCAGTTAAACATATATTTTAAAAAAACAAAAACCTATGTTTCTATGAAAATTGAAGCTTTTGTTTTTTTGCAGCCCACATAAACTTAAACCTTGTTTATTTGGCCCGTGTTAGCCTTTGAGTTTGACATACTTATTCTAGAGGAACAGAATCTTAAGACTGAGTTATCACACTGGCCAGTGTAGCTCAGTTGGTTGAGTGTCCTCCCATGCACTGAAAGGTCACAGGTTCAATTCCAGGTCAGGACACATGCCCAGGTTTCGAGTTCAATCCCTTGTTGGGTGCCTACGAGAGGCATCCAATCTGTTTCTTTCTCATATCAATGTTTCTCTCTCTCTCTCTACCTCTTTCTCTCAAATCAATAAAAACATTAAAAAAGAATGAGTTATCTGAATTGGTTATGGTGTTCTGTAATTGGTTCCCAAATCTGATTAGATTTAAAGGCAGTAATGGCTACCAGTGGTAAAGGGCACTGGTAGTCCAAGGTCTGAGGGGGCAATAGAGATACACAGAATATCACCATTGGATACTCCTACTTAAATATTTACAAAAGACAGAGTTCTGTTTTTTTGTTGTTGATAATCCTCACTCCAGGGTATTTTTCCATTGAATTTTAGGGAGAGTGGAAAGGAGGGTGAGGGACACAGAGAGAGAAACATCGATGTGAGAGAGACACACATCAACTAGTTGCCTTCTGCATGAGGGATTGAGCCTGCAACCAGGGTTCATCCGTGCTCTTGACTGGGAATCAAACCCCCCGGGACCCTTCAGTCCGAGGGCCAACGCTCTATCCACTGAGCAAAAACGGCCAGGGCAAAGACAGGGTTCTGGATGACATTTTTGCCAACAAGTCTAATGAGACTGACTGGTTGCTCCTAACTGTGTTGGGAAAAGGGGGGGTGGGGGGGAGGGGAAGGACAAGCTCAAGTCTTCAAGTTCCCAGCTCAAGTTCTGCATAATTGACCTGAAAGTTTCTGTGTCCTCTCTAAAGAAACCTTTCCGCCCCCTGCCCCACCACTGTTACAGAGCTGAGATTGCTGAAAACCAAACCCAGAGCCTCATCCTGCAAAGTGGCTGAATTATAATACAAAATGAATTCTCAGTCGACAGTGTGTCTGCTGTTAAAATGAGGGCATTGATTGGGAAGGAATAAGATCCTCAAATTTGGAATAGGATACTGAGCCCCTAAATTTTGATCAGTCTTTTTTGCCACCTGTTTGAGGAAGTTAATATGCTTTGACTGAAGAACCTGTAATGGCCTTTCCTGAGGTAATTGCCTTGCAAGATATTGCTGATTCTCAATAACTGCTTCTAGACCAGTGATGGCGAACCTTTTGAGCTCGGCGTGTCAGCATTTTGAAAAACCCTAACTTAACTCTGGTGCCGTGTCACATATAGAAATTTTTTGATATTTGCAACCATAGTAAAACAAAGACTTATATTTTTGATATTTATTTTATATATTTAAATGCCATTTAACAAAGAAAAATCAACCAAAAAAATGAGTTCGCGTGTCACCTCTGACATGCGTGTCATAGGTTCGCCATCACTGTTCTAGACCTATAACTCGACTTCAGTCTCAGCAGGCCTCCATGGGTCAACTGCAAAGTGTGACCCATGAAGAGGTGTGCTGCACTCTTAAAAACTGATTTTAAAAAAATGCCACAGATAGATCTCTGGGGAATATGTGTGAGGATGGATATCAAAAGTGTGGAATACTTGTGAAAGAAACATAAAGTTAGATCAGGCTGAATTTATTGATAGAGGAGCACTAAGCAGAGATTTTGTATTCACTGTTATAGCTTCGGGGGTTAGAAAGGGCTCTAACAGTTTGGGTGTTTGGCTGAAACATGGACCAAAGGTGACCTATGCTAAATAAAGTTAAAATGCCAGACCTGCCTTGGTATACTATAAAGGAAAGGATCTAAGGGAGACTGGGATGATAGAGTGGATTTACCATGTAAGACCTGTTCACTCACCTTTGGAGGTGATTTCACATGATTTTGAGAAGTAAATTTGTGAGAGACGCCCCCAGCATCCTTGGTGATCTGTGAAGAGTTCTGATTGCTCTTCTCTGTGGGTCAGGAATTATAGCAGGGACTGCTTCTACTGATCTGGGGATCCTAGAATGTAGTGAGGACAGTTGGAAATTGAGCAGATATTACAAAGGAACCCATCACTTAATGATATATCAATATACTGAAGGAAAAGAACTCAGAGCAGAGGGCAGTTGAAGTACAGGAACAAGAATAGCAGTAAAAAAAAAATATATATATATATATATATATATATATATATATATATATATATATGGAAAATGTGGTTGAGCAGAGTCTAAAACAGGAAGAAGTTAGCTTAAAATACAAGTGGAGGACTAGCCTTTGAATGTAGGGACAGTTTTATTTTCTGAGGAAGAAGTTAATGGATTCTTGGATGGGTGTGGATGCAGGTAACTCGGGGAGGGGGAAGGCTAAAGGTGAGAAAATTCACCCCTCATAACTTTGGTTCATTTTTAACGGGAAGAGGGGGTTGGCTTTATCAAATTATTTATTAAACATTTATTGAGTGCCTCCTATGTGCCACGCAGCCTTTGTTTTAGGGGCCTGGGATGCAGCAGTGAACAAAACAGGAAAAACAAAACTCTGTCCTTGTGGGACCATTAGTAGTAAACACAATAAATAAGTAAATTATAAAGGATGTTAGAAGATGAGTGCTATGAAAAAAGAAACAAATAGAGCAAGGTAAGGACGATAGGGATGGATGTCAGGGCTGGAAGGGAGGGGATTGGGAGCAGTGTTGCAATTTTAAATAGAATGGCTAAAGGAGGCATCAGAGAGCTGGTGCCATTGAACAAAGACTTGTGGGAAGCAAATTAGCCATGCTAACTTGAAAAAACTTCCTAGCAGAGGAAATATCTAGTGCATAATTCTTTTTTTAAAAATTCATTCTTTTTTTTTTATTATTGATTTCAGAGAGGAAGGGAGAGGGAGAGATAGAAACATCAATGATGAGAAAGAATCATTGATTGGTTGCCTCCTGCAAGCAACCCCAGGCATGTGCCCTTGACCAGAATCGAACCTGGGACCCTTCAGTCCGCAGGCTGACGCTCTATCCACTGAGCCAAACCGGTTAGGGCTAGTGCATAATTCTTAAGGCAGCAGTCCTTTTAGCATGCTGGAGGAGCTTTTTAGCATGTTTGGATTTCAGAATTAATTCAGTTTTGTAAAAATGATTAAGGGCTTAATCTTTCTGTATGGCCTTTCTTACTCATTTAATATTCTTTATTTGAAGCACCGTTCTTTATTTGAAGCACCTGTAGCTTGTCATGTTGGTTGTTAAATGGTCTGATTCTTCAGACTGTTATTTGACTTTCCTTTTGTCTGTAGCAATTTCTAGTATCACCTTTAAAGACTTCCTGGGAGCCGGCTAATTTTGAGATATTTACAATTTCATTTTGTGACTCATTTGCATTGTATTGTTGGGTGATCTGTGAGAGCCTGATAGGAGCTGATGTTAATTATTAATTAGGGAGGGATGAGTCAGGGTACTAATTTTATAGGGAACAATTCATTAGTGGATGATTTTATTTGATAATAGTTTGCACTGAGATAACAAATATCCGTGTAAAATGTAGTAGAGTAGCTGTATTTATTGGAGTGCTGATTTATTCGGGTGCTAACTCAAGTCTCATTGACTCTTGTTTAGTATACAATTTAAAAAAGTAAGATCATCTATTCTCAATGTATTATCAGAAGTAGTAAGTTAACAAGTATGGGGTGGGGTGGAGCTAAGGGGTCAGTGGCACTTCCTGATGCCAAGAGAGGGGAACTGATTTGCTATATAGTAATACACACTAAAATTCTATCATACCAGTGGGGAAACCTATATCTAGAGAGACCAACTAATTTTCTCAAAATAATACCGCTATTAACTCTATTGGGTACATTTTATTCCAAAGCCCATGTTCTTTTAAAATTACATTTTAACTTTACTGACAAAAAAGTTATAGATATCTGGAAAAGTCCATCTCTCTTCTCACCAGCCAATAACATGTGATTTACAGTTTTATATAATTTAGTCTAAAGCAGTGGTTCTCAACCTTCTGGCCCTTTAAATACAGTTCCTCATGTTGTGACCCAACCATAAAATTATTTTCGTTGCTACTTCATAACTGTAATGTTGCTACTGTTATGAATCGTAATGTAAATATCTGATATGCAGGATGGTCTTAGGCGACCCCTGTGAAAGGGTCGTTCAACCGCCAAAGGGGTTGCGACCCACAGGTTGAGAACCGCTGGTCTAAAGGTATTATAGGATAAATGATACTGATAACTACTCATCAGACCATAATAACTAACACTTATATGATGCTTGTTAATTTACAAAAGCATGTTTGCATCAGAAATTTCATAGAATTCCTATAACAGCCTGTGAAATAATCATTTTACTAGGGGACGTGGGCTTGGTGTCTAAAAGGGAATTGCATGGAATTATGTCCCCAAGACGTTAGGGCCCAAATCTTTTGCTTCCAGATCTTAAGACTTCTTTCCATTATACTATACTGCTTCTTTGTAGAATAATAGAGCCCTACAAATATCCATTTTGTAGTAATAAAATCACTTCAAAACATAACCCTCCATGATGTCTGCTAGACTCATTTACTCTATCATATTTAAATGATGTATTTTAATGAGATTTAAAAATTGCATTATGTTACAACTGTATACCGTAACATTAATTTTGTGGATTTGGTAGCAATGTCTTTTCTTTTACTTCCTAATAATTAATGACTCGTTTTTAAGTAGATTAGTTTAAAATGGGAATCTATATAATCTAATTTTTAAATCTATTCTCTATAGAAGCTGAAATCCATCCATCACCATTCTTCAAAATGCAATGGAATGTACCAAGGACTGTATTCCAACTGGCACATAGGACATGCATGGACCCACATAAAGCTGGTCTTTTTGGACACTGTCAATATATAAAGGGACCATTACTTTTGTATAGAGCTGAATCCAGAGTAGTTTTGGTACAGGTTCCTCTAAAACAATGGCTGCATTTATCTGCTGCCCAGTGCACTGCAAAGGAAAGGAAGCCATTCGATGCTCCTTCACCCCAACTGAGGGTTCTTCATTATAAACAGTGGGAGCAAGATGCTTCCTCTAAGAGGGTTATGTCATCCAATGCTACATCTCCAGGAACGCCTTCAGAAAAAAAAGAAGAACCTGATCCGTTACAAGACAAATCTATTAGCCTTTATCAACGATTTAAGAGAACTTTTAGACAGTATGGAAAAGTGTTGATTCCAGTGCATCTAATAACTTCTGGTGTTTGGTTTGGAACATTTTATTATGCAGCCATAAAGTAAGTTTTGCTTGGTTGAGCATCTTTCCCTGTTTTATCAAAATATTTAATCTTTTAAAAAAAATTATTGTTGGAAATATTACAGATGTCCCCTTTTTTTCCCCTTTAACCCCCTCCACCCTGCCCCCCCCCCCCCCCAGGCCTTCACCACACTGTTTTCTGTGTCCGTTGGTATAAATATCCTATATAATAAAAGGGTAATATGGAAATCAACCGAACGGCTGAGCGACCGGTCGCTATGACGCACACTGACCACCAGGGACATGCTCAATGCAGGAGCTGCCCCCTGGTGGTCAATGCGCTCCCATAGGGGGAGCGCCTCTCAGCCAGAAGCCGGGCTCATGGCTGGCAAGTGCAATGGCAGTGGCAGGAGCCTTTCCTGCCTCTGCGGCAGCGCTAAGGATGTCCGACTGACGGCTTAGGCCCGCTCCCCACACTCCCTGGGCCTAAGCCGGCAGTCAGACAACCCCTGAGGGCTCCCAGACTGTGAGAGGGCACAGGCCGGGCTGAGGGAACACCCCCCCACACACATACCCCCAGTGCACGAATTTCATACACCGGGCCTCTAGTATGCATATAAAGTTTCTGGTTAATCTCTCCCCACCTACCCCCCTACCCCTGCCTTCCCTCTGAGAATCCTCAGTCTGTTAATCTTAAGTGTACTAGTTTTGAAAGCCTTAACTAGTTTTTTAAATGCTTTAATGTCTTTAATTGATAGAGAATGACTACTTTTCATAACCTTGTCACATTTTGATAATAATTAACATTTGCTTACTGTGTACATCAGGCCTTGCTAAATTTTTTAACTGTATTATCTCATTTAATCCTCACAGCAATCATATGAAGCAGGTAGTGCAATTATTCCCATCTTAATAATGAGAAAACAGATTTTAATAATAAGCCAAATTAACTTAGTTTTTCCTAGAAAAACTGAGAGTCTGATGTCAAAGCTCATGCTCTTAGTCACTGTGTTCACCTCCTATCAACATTTAGGGTAGCACAGAGATAAATCATATTTCAGAAATTTAGCTGCACCAGAAATTTTGTATTTATATATTTCTTAAAGTGTTCATAAATGTAAAAAGACATTATTTTTCCATGTGTATGATTTTAGTGGAAAATTCATAAGATATTTTTGCAAAATTCTGGCTAATACCTGTTATAGACACAAACTTGAGCAAATTGCAGACTTATGTATTAACGTTACTCATATCTGATAAATGTCAATGCATATCTTTTATTCTTATCAGGAGTTAATTTCATGTACATTTAAAATTTTGTTAAGAGGATAGATCTCATGTTAAGTGTTCTTACCTCAATAAAATAAACTTTTTCAAAAAACTTAATTTAGTAGGCCTAGCCTGCCAATATTGTAAAACCTAGAATTTCTAAATGTTCCTTTCTTGTTAAATACTGTTCCTTTCTTTTGGAGCAAGAATACACATAGAAACAGCTTCCCAATAATTTCCAGTTTGTTTCTGCCTCTAGCACAGCGGTTCTCAACCTGTGGGTTGCGACCCCTTTGGGGGTCGAACGACCCTTTCACAGGGGTCACCTAAGACCATCGGAAAACACATATATAATTACATATTGTTTTTGAGATTAATCACTATGCTTTCATTATGTTCAATTTGTAACAATGAAATTGGGGGTCACCACAACATGAGGAACTGTATTAAAGGGTCACGGCATTAGGAAGGTTGAGAACCACTGCTTTAGCACAGTGGTTCCCAAACTTATTTGGCCTACCGCCCCCTTTCCAGAAAAAATATTACTCAGCGCCCCCTGGAAATTAATTTTTTTAAAATTTTAATAGCAATTAAACAGAAAGATATATGTATTAATGTTTCTACCTTTTTCGTAAAATATAGTAAAGAAAGGTGTAAATTAGAAACATTGAAGTTTGAAATTATGAAACTATTTATTGAACTCAGAATAGAAAGGTAATACAAAAAAAGTTAAAACAAATGCACCTGTGGCCATTACCGCCCCCCTGGATCGCTGCAGCGCCCACCAGGGGGCGGTAGCGCCCACTTTGGGAATCACTGCTCTAGCAGAACCCAGTAGGTACCAACCTGTCCCTGTTCCTTCGAACAAGAAAAGTACTGGTCTGGTCCTGAGCAAGCCCAGTGAGCTCATTGTCCTGAAGGCAATGATGACAGCACATTAATGGCTTTTTACATCTTAAATTTCCTTTTTTGAGCCATTGAGGATTTTTCTAATTCAGTACTGTGGAAGATAACATGAGTAATACTTGTTTCTTCTGCCTTCCTTGGGTTGCCCTTAATAAGCATTCAGTCTCCTGGCGTTAGAGGCAGAAATCTAAATGTCTAATTAATTGAATATGATCATCTCATTTGGACTATTAAAAAGAGTACTTTTGTTTCCTTTACTTTTCCTTCTTGAGTTAAAGATTTCTATAACTAAAAAATCGGACCCCAAATAACCTAGTGATAATAGTTATTCTTAAAGGTTTTTTTCATTGCTATCTGGCACCTGAGGCAGTTGTGACATTCTGCCATCCCCTGTGGAATGCACCTCTCTCAGTTTTATCCTTCCCCCTCTTTTCTGCAGAATGTTTGTGTGTAAGCATGGTGACAAGACAGTCTACTTTAAAAATCACACCTCATTCCCCATCAGAACTTGTCTGTTGGCTATTTGCCAGCATGCGAAATCTGTGTGCCAGACCCACCACTGCTGCCCAGCGATGACTACTGGTCCAATTCTGTTATAGCATCTCATAGCTAAAAATTTGTATTTTGTAGGGTTTGTTGCTTCCCAGCATAGTCCTTAATGTTTTTACTGAATCTGTAATACTGCAGGAGTTGAAAATTGATTTGTTCTAGTAAGATCTTATTGCAAGTAATACTTTAAAAATATAAGGACTTAAGATATGTTCAAATGGCAATTTATCTTTCATTGTGAGATGATTTTATTATAAAACTAGAGGTCCAGTACATGGATTCGTGCACGGTGGGGTCCCTTGGCCTGGCTGGTGATCGGGGCCGTGGGAAATTGACTGGCCCAGGAGATTGGCTGTGGGAGCCACCAGGGGGCAACTCCTGCATTGAGTGTCTTCCCTCTGGTGGTTAGTGCCTGTCATAGCGACAGGTCGACTGGTCGTTCAGTTGCTTAGGCTTTTATATATATCGATTGGAGTTGATTGTATTAAATACAGGTGATTTGTTTTTTAATTTAACTGACAAGAAGCTGGCTTTATTTTATTTTAGTTTTAGCTTGTTGCCTGCTTACTATTAAAAGAAAGAAGAAAAAATAATTTGTAACTTGAAGGATGGGCATTAGAAGTCACATTGCATTACTGACCAATGTTTGTTTTAGTCACTCCGACAACCAGCATGCTGCCTTGCTAGTCACCATAAAGCAAAATGCCATTCTTTATTTAGTTAAGTCCGTGATCAAGACCTCAGGCTTTTGAAACATTTTATTTCAGGGAGATCTAAATTGTGCATGGTAATGGATTTTATTTTAAACTAAACTGTTGTCCCTATCTGGCAAAAACTTGCAGATACATTATGTCTTCTAACCAGAAGTCTTCTGTTTGGTCAAATGTAGCTCTGTGATGATGGTTTTGTCCTTATGTTTAGATGCCTCATGTTTTGGGCCTCAGGCTCCTAAAGCTATAGATTCACTCTGAGGCAAAATCCTGACTGATTTTTACTGCACTTTATTCAGACTGTGAATGTGCCTTTGCCCTTGTGTGTTTCTGCGCCACTAGGAACATCCATAAAGCTGGCAGTTTGTGAAGCAGAGATTTTTGTCAGGCTGTAGGAAGTTCAGAGTAAAAAGTTTCAAAAATAGATATTATTTGAATCAAACCTTCATTGATACTTCATACTTAGCAATTCCAAAGAAAATAAAAGTTTTTTTTATAAAGTCAAGTCATCAAATCAGTATTTTAGAAATAAGTGGAACCAGGTGCTTGTTTTTGTATTTTACAAAGGATACATATGTAAGGTGTCTGAGGTTATTATTATGGTAGTTTTTATTTTTTTTAATCACCCCATTTTGTCTTATATTTGGCCAAATGTTTGTCTTTTTCCCCCTTTATGATTGCTGTTAAATATGCAGATTTTACATTCTGGGCTTAGTCTCAACTAGAAAATGATTAACGGAGTAATTTATAATTTTATTGGCACTGGAAGGTAATTAGCATGTTATGGTAGGATGTTACTGTACATTGTGACTATTAGAGCCATAGAATAGTCTTTATGATACTAAGTCTTGCTTTAATATGATTCTGTCTAAGAAAGAGGTTTTTAAAAGAACTGATGGTAGAGATAGAAGAAACCAGATTGGATTTGTAATTGACATCTTCCTTAAACTCTTCAAAGATTACTTCAGTTATCTGGTTTTCTTTTGTAGATGATAGGTAATTTTTCTTGATGATGTTCAGCCATATCTATTGAGTAATCCCTGGTTTCTTAGTATTATAATGAAATCATAGAGGGGGACAACTTTTTCCCAGTTACCAAGTTATTTTTTAATATTAAAAATAAATTAGTATTTTGCAACTACCATAATAATAATGAATCCAGGCAATTTTTTTCTGAATTACAAAGAGAAAGAGTATGTGTACTGTGGAACAATCTCTGGACCCTACCTTAACCCTACCTCAAATTTAACATCGGTGATGGAACAAACTACCATTATGTGGCCCCTGTTGACGCACCGAAATGAACTGTGCAGAATTAACTGTGCAGTTTTCCTTTTGAAAAACATTTAACCAGAATCTAAGCATGAGGAAACAATCAGACAAATCCAAATTGAGGGATAGTCTACCATGCAACTGGACTGAAAGCTTAAAATCTCCGTGTCAAGGAAGACATGCTGCCTTCCTCCTTGACAGAAAGTCCTGGGAATCATTTCTAGAGAAAAGGAGACTAGAGAGACATGACAGGATAGCATTAAGGGACATACTAGACCAATTCAGGAAATTTTATGTTAATGTAGGAGAATCACAGAACAAGAGCCTTGTTCTGATTTAGAGGTGAAGGGTCTCAATATCTGCAAATGCGTGCACGTGCCAATGTAATAAAATATTGATAATCAGAAAAACTACCAATAAATTAGGGCTTAACAGCTCAGATTAGAGACATTCTCTGCCTTCTCTCCCTCCCTCCAAAAATGTGTTGCAATTTATGGTAATTGTTCACCTGCCTATTCAGTTCTGATAATAGTGTAGAAGCACCCTTTTAGAATAATTGAAGTTTTCATCAAATAATTTATTCAAATCATTAGAATCATTTATTCTTTGCATAGTAATACAGTAAGTAATATTATATAACTTGCTTTTACAATAATATTATAGTTTGGCATGTAATATTAGAGGTAAAAAATCTTAAGTCCTGAAGTTTAAGTTGGAGCATTCTAACTAACGAAGTGATATTTAGTTGAGAAAACTAAGATCAGGTAAGTGATTCTGACCCTTTTCTCCTGGGTTACATAAAGTTATTAATTTTGCTTTGATAAATGCTTCTATTTTTTTGAATATGTTAAATGCAGAAGTTGCACACAGTAAGCTATAATACAACAACACTGGTGTTTGTGTACATATTGTTCGTTTAGAGTGAAATTAAAGTGCTTGATAATATAGAACTGATGTTTAAACAAAATTTGGTTTTGGTGTTTTCAGATAATCTTTTGAAACTATTTATCCCTAAAATGTGTATGTGTGTGTGTATGTATATATATATAAATTACTTTTTGTTTCTTTCTTAGAGGAGTGAATGTCATTCCTTTTCTAGAGCTTATTGGGTTACCTGACAGCATAGTAAACATTTTGAAAAATTCCCAGAGTGGAAATGCCCTAACAGCATATGCCTTGTTTAAGGTAGGTACTATTAGAAATTAATTACTCCTCACACTTAACCGATGACCTGCTCAGTTCCCCAGAAAACTCAATGTTAGCACCTAATAGTTCTTTTTTGTAATAGTTCTTTTTTTAAAATACTGCATTTCATCTCTTACATGTCCAATAAAATTTTAAAAATTTTAAGTGTAAATAAAATGATGGTTTAGGAAGAGTGCCTTGAAAATAGGTAGATCATTCATAATCTGCTGTGATCACATGTGAAACTTCTGAATTTCTAGGGTACAAGTCATTTTTTTGACATTTTTCCTATACACAGTGTATTAATTTTTCTTATTCAGAGATCTGCATGCCACCTGACTTGAAAGTGAAATTTAGCATTTATTTTACTGTTTATAAATAGTTCATTTCTTAATAAGTAAAATATAAAGTTTAATGCAAGTTGTTTTATATGATACACCTAATTAGACTTAGTTGTTAGATATTGTGTATGTTTTATTTTAGAAGTTCATAGACTTTATAAATTTTCTGGATTTAGACAATGACATCTTTATAACTATTTCTACACCTGTGGGTCTTTTTTTCAGAAGAGACTCATTGTGGAATTAAGCCATATTAATCTTATTTTTCTCTATTGACAAATAATTATGAGGTTCTTTGTAGCTTCATACTAAGAGAGGAAACAGGTAGAAAGCATTTGAAAACTAGATGTTATTTTACTTTTATATGAAAATACTTAAAATTATGGTTTTATAATAGCACTCAAAACTAAAGTTACTTTGTCATCCTTATTAGAATCATCTGAAATCTTGAGAGATTTCCTCTTATTATAATTTTGACTAGAAAGCTAAGCTTAATTGCTGAGTTTTTCAACATTAAAATTTATTAAATTCATAAATTATCAAGTTTATAGCTTTTGTGGACATAATTTAACCTTAATAAATCAAACTGTTTGATAATGATTTAAACCATTTCCTTAATTATAATTGCTCCTTATCCCATGCTCCCATAATGTGTATAGCTCTTGTATAGTTCATACCACAGTCTCTGTGTTACTTTTATTTTTTAAAATATATTTTTAATTATTTCAGAGAGGAAGGGAGAGGGAGAGAGATAAAAGCATCAATGATGAGAGAGAATCGTTGATTGGCTGCCTCCTGCATGCCCCCTACTGGGGATCAAGCCTGCAACCCCGGGCATGTGCCCTTGACCTGAATCGAACCCAGGACCCTTCAGTCTGCAGGCCCATGCTCTATCCACTGAGCCAAACCAGCTTAGGGCACTACTTTTATTTTTTAAAGTTTGTTTTCTTTATTTGATTATGAGTACCCAGGAATTTAGAATCATGTCTTCTTTCTCTTTGTGTTTTCCGTGTGCTTGGTATTGTGCTTTGCAGGCAAATTGATGCTCAATGCATGTTTGTTGGGTTTAGATTGAAACGTGAAACTGTACATGTAGGTAATTACTGTTAGCAGCTTTTCTTCTCACTCACTGTTCCTGTGCATAGGGGGAAATGTGGAGGGGGATTCTCTTGAGTATTTACTGTAACCCACAGTCTTAAGTAGAGCAACAAACACTGAGATTTATTGCTTTGATAAGGCAAAGCCCCAAAGAGTTGTGGCATAGATGAAAAAAATAAATAACCTGAGAGTATGACCTTGTGGCCTTGGCTAGGACACACTCATAACCCCCTTGTACTATCCTTGAAATGCACCATTGGTTGAGTTGCTTAAAACTTGTTGGGCCCCTACTGTGTGCCAAGTGCCAATTCTAGGTACTGGGGATACTGTAATTAATTAAAATGGCACAGAATACCTGCTCTCGTGAAGCTTATATTCTAATGGTGGGAGGCGGTTAGAGAGACAAAGAAGGGAAAGTTAAAAAAGAAATAAACACACACACAGTATATTTAGATGGTAAGTGCTAAGAAGAAAGAACAAACCGGTTATGGGGGTGTATTTGTGTTGTGGCTTGGTGTTTTTCAGGAGGGTTACAAGAAGGTGAGAGAGTTAAGCAGCTGTGGGGGAGAAGAATGTTTCTAGCAGGGGAGTGTGTGAGGGAACAGGAGGAACCAATGTAACTACAAAGAAGGAGCAGGGCCACAGGCAAAAGAGTGACTGCATCAGGGCAGCCTGCCAGGCTGCTGTGAGCACTCTGGATCAGATGGAAAGTCAGTGGGCAATTTTGAGCATCTGACTTCTTTTAACAAAATCACTTTAGCTGCTGTATTGAAAACATGGCAAGGGTAGAAGCCCGCAGGCCTGCCAGGAGGTTAATGCAGTGGTCTAGGTGAGAGCTGATAGTGGCTAAGACCAAGGTGGTAGCAGGAGAGGCCGTAAGAAATAGGTGGATTCTGGATATATTTTTAAACTGTCCAACAGGTTTTGGGCCTGAGCAACTGAAGAATACAGTTGTCATTTCCTGAGGTGTAGACAACTTTGAGAGGAGAGGTTTAGAATGGGACCATTGAACATCAAGAGCCAGTTTTGAACAGATGACATTTGAGATCCTGTTAGACATCCAGGTGGAAACGAGTAGGTGGTTGTATATACTGGAATTTAGGGATAAGGCTGGATCTGAAAATTTAAACTTAAGAGTCATCAACACATAGGTGGTAGTACAGACAAAACTGTGTAAGACCGCCAAGGGAATGAGATGGGTGGAGAAAAGAAAGGGTCCAGGCACTGAATGCTGTCAGAGGTAGGCGACAGGAGGAGGAATCAGCAAGGAACCCTGGAAAGGGGCAGCCTCTGATATAGAAGGAAACCAGGGGCGGGGGGACCTGGCAGCCAAGCAGAGGACATGCACCGAAAAGCTGTCTCAGGTGGTTCTCGGGGTTCATGGAACTCTGCTCGCGATGGCAGCAGTTTTTGTGGAGGGGGTGGGGTGAAGGAAAGCTTGGTTAGGCTAAGTTCAAGAGAAGATGAAGAAGAAAATTGGAGCTAGCACAGGCAGCTCTTTGAAAGACCTTTCGTGTCCGGTACCCTACATATACGATTCTGAATTTTAATACAACAGCCTCTGAGTGTGATACAGACTCTGCTTTTAAGATTCTCGTTGACCAGTTTGTCTACTATTTAATTGTGGCTCTTAAATCTCTGATCAGAGTTAAACCTGTGCATGTCTGCAACACATGTACCATTTTACCACTTGGTCTCAGGGAGGTTCTGGTTGGGATTCCAGACCCAGGGCAGATTGTAATGAGGAAGGAGTGTAAGTCCTGGAAAACTCCGAGGAAAGAGATATGGAAGTGAAATGAAGCTAAATTCAGTCAAGAAGAAACATTTGGCCCATGCTTTCCTCTCACTATGTAAAGTGGTTTGGTTCTAGTTTAGTTCTAGGTATTGTCTGTGGGTGGGCAGGGTTTTAAGCAATAGAGACCTGTGTACCTTTGTTGTTGGTAGTGGTTCTGAGCCGTCTCTGATTTCCCAGCGAATCGCCCCTCCTACCCCTTGCCCAGGTTCACTAGCACATGGTCATAGACTTTAATGCTGCCACAACGAACAGTCTATAATCCTGGGTCAGTGTCTGCGTAACAAATATTTATAAAGTGAGTTTACAGAAGAAGCACCCCTGGTTAGGAGGGAGAACCATATAGAATACAACTTCAGTAGCATTGTAAAGCATTAAAGTAATTTCCCATTGTTTCTGCCTGTGACAATAATCATAATCAGGTATTGATCTGCCTGTTTGCTTTTTTCCTTCAGATTGCAACACCTGCCCGATATACCGTGACTTTGGGGGGAACCTCCTTCACTGTGAAGTATCTGCGTAGTCGTGGCTACATGTCAACACCTCCTCCTGTGAAGGAGTATCTACAGGATAAGATGGAAGAGACAAAGGAGCTTCTCACAGAGAAAATGGGAGAAACGAAGGATAGACTCACTGAAAAATTACAAGAAACCAAAGAAAAGGTTTCTTTTAAAAAAAAAGTGGAATAGGGTGTCTTATATAAGAGGTTATAAACGATCCCTGCGCTTTAACCCTTAAGAGATGAGGGACAGATTCATGCTCCTGAGTATATTTTTGGTTGGTTTCCTAACTCTGCCAATTCTCGGAGGGTTAAAGAACTAAGATAACCTTTTTAACATTGTCACTAGAAAAATCAGTGTTCTTTGAAAAGAAAAAAATGAACCCAGTATAAGAATTTCCCATCAATAGCAGCATTAAGCAGTGTTAATGTCTAAGTCAGACTCTTTTCAAGGTCCTCAGAAGCATACTTGCTTATGTTTTGTTGCAGCTATACTTTAGGCAGACGAGGCAATTGACTTCTTGAATAACTGATGTGGCCCTAGACAGGAAGTTAATGCTAGTGTTCATCTTTATGTTATTCATTGAGGTTTTAACTGTATTCAGCCCTCATTCTCATTATGGAGACAAACTTTTATCATCAAAACTGCCTATGAATAAGAGAATAGTGTTTCTATAAAAAAAGTGTTTAACAGTTACATACCAGTTAAAATAATAGACTTTATATGAAGAAAATTGAATAAAAATTGAGTTATACATGTAAATAAGATGTATTGGTTATATGTAAATGAAAAAATTGACCATTTAAAAATGATTTTTACCTGAAACTTGTCATAATCAAATTTTTAAAGTAAATATATATGGCCATAGTACCTTGTCACCTAGAACATAAAACTATGAATTGTTTGTGTCCTTTTCAACTGATTTTTCAGAGAAAAAGTGAAAGTAATTATACTGTAAGTTCATTGTTGAAATCAGATGATCTTAAGCAGCGATTCACATTTGTGGTTCTCAAGAAAATACCGCTTTGGAAGAATGGAAAATGGCACCAGGTTGTCATGGACCTACCCACTCTTCTGCCACTAGCAGGTCTCGTCTCCATAAGCCAGCGCTCTCTCCCAGTGTCTTCTCCCAGAGTTAATGGTGATCTCATTATGGAATAAATTTTAAAATTGTAGCTGCTGCTCTTTCCCTGATATTGAATCCTTGCTTGAGCGTTTTACTTAAAATTTTTTATACTAAAACTATCATTAAATTATCTGCTTGGAATGAAATTCAACCATTGTCAGATATGAAAGTTGTCATGATTGTGTGGGCGTGTTTAAGGGTGTCTGTATCTGTTTTAACTGCCTTTTACTTCGTTTCCCTTGAATTGATATTTGGAAGAGGGAATGGCGTCTGCGTAGATTGTCTGTTTAGATTATCAGAGGGACCAGCAGGAACAATCCTGCAAAAATCACCGCTATTTGGCAGGTTTTCGTATTTAATAGTTTGGCCAAATTTAGAAAATACTTTAAAGGAAAAAGAATGTTTACATTTGATACATTTAATCATTATACTGGAACACCTCTTAAATGAATATTCTGTGGTTGGAACTTCTTTTGTGGGTGGGGCAGAGTAGTGAGGGGAGGGCCAGGAGCCGTTGGTGTGCCTGGTGCAGTGCTGATCAGGAGAATGGTTAGTCCTCTCACTCAGAGTGGAACTTGCGATTTCAAATTGACAGCACATTTTCAAATCTAAATATAATTGACATGTTTTAGCCTGTCTGTTAAATAATTCACCTATTTTCAGATATTAAATGCTAAGATATTAACAAATTTCTTGTTTTTTTTCTTCTTATTTTTTTAACCACTTGAGACTTTGCCTTGTGTTTTAATATCTTGCATTATATAGAACTCTTCTAAAATAATTTCCTTTCACTGTGCACATTGCACAGGACATATTTTCCAATGGGGATAAATTGTGGGTTCTTAGAAGGCACTAATAATCCTGAGACTAAAATTTGATTCTCTTGAGTATCCACCTTTTTGCTCAGTCCATTTGTTTTGCTACCACCCAGTTTCATAATTATGTTGCATTTATTCAGTTATAGAAAGTGAGATGCTGATGAGTGCTTTGAAATTCTCTAATAAAAAATTCTCTGAATTCCTCACCAGTTTCTGCTGGCCAAAACCCAACCACCCAGACTTCAAAGGAATATATATTTGAATGTGAAAGGTAAAACGTTGAAGTATATATAATTTTTAACTGTATTAGGGATGTTTGAACTAGTTTCAAAATGAGGTTTTATTTATTGAATATACATCAGAACCAGTGGTCCCTGTATCACTTCGTACCAGTGTGGTCTGCTTAGTTAAAACCAGTTCTTGCATCCCTTAATTTTTGTAGTTGTTATTTTTGTAGTTATTATTTGGGTTTCTAGTGCTTTCTTTTTCTTTGCAACTCTCCACACAAAAACTCACAACATTCTGGAGAGGCCATGACGTAACTCTACACAGTAGTGAGGTGTAGCAGGAATCTCCCGGAGGTGCACTGGGGCTGTGGCTTACAATGATCACTATTGATTCAAAGCTTTATTTAGCCTTCTGTGTGTGTGTGTGTGTGTGTGTGTGTGTGTCTGCGTCTGTGTGTGTATGGATCTTCTGAAAAGTTTTTTGACGTACAAGTTTTTCTCTTTGATTTGTGGACACAATGCTGAGGTTCAATAACTACATGAAACTACTGGCTGTGAAAACAAAACAAAAAATCCAAAAGGCTGTTTTTCCAAGTGCCCCCTCCCTCCCCACCCAGGGAAGCTATGCGACAGTGGGATGCCAGTTTCAGAAAGATTCGTCTTACCTTCAACCCTCTGTTCGTCTCTTTCGTCTCTTCTCTTTTCTTCAAGAAAGAAGTTGATCCTAGTGATTTCAGCCCATGCATTAAACAGGAAAAAATAATATATGTATAGAATTCATATTTTTCTAAAGGGAACTTAAAAACTACTTCTACATGTATGTACAAAACTGGTTTATACCACATGAGCAGAATCACAAGATTAGCTTTGATACTTTCTTCCTCTTTGTATTCACTTGTATAGAACTTCCAAATTCAAAATGAGAAGAAAAGCTGTTCTGTAGCAAACCATGTAAGCAATAAATATATTTTAAAACACCCCAAAAAAATCTGTAAAGATGGGAGAAGTTCTTTTGACATTTAGCATCAGACATTTGTATCATATCAAATGCTGTTGCTAGGATATTGCTAACCTTAGGTAAACTACAAGTAGCTTAAACGGGGACACCTGTAATATGTTGTATGAAGTTAAATTGTTAAGCTATATAGAAAGTAAATATATATAGTTTGCTATATATATCATAAACCCCATTTCATTTATAATAAACCTTATTCTTTGGATTAATTGGCCCATAAATTCTGGGAGCTCCAAGGCAGAGCAGCTCCCCATCTAGTCTGCATGTGTATAAGTAGGATGTGTTGACAGGTCAAGAGGCTATGACTGAGATTTAACTTTATATAAAGTGGATGAAAAGGGTTTGCTCAGCAAATTAACAATTGAAATGAAAAGATTAGGTAAGAGATGTAGTTTATTCAAGGATAATAGCAAAGCCGAACTTTTAAAAGTACCAAAAAATGTCTCTTACTGAAATCTTTTGTGTACAAGTGCTGTTTTCAGACCTCAAGAAGGGAGAAAAGGAATGCATATACTGAGATTACCTTCCAGTAGTGAAAATAATAAAATTATGCCTTCAAATGTAGTCTTCAATTTATTTTTTACAAAATCTCCCTCCATTTATTTACAAATGAAAAATATTACTACTAGTATAGTCCTGTGTGCTCCAGGATGAAATGAGCTATTGGCTGACTTATTTCAGTGATCTGAGAAGATAATTCCAGGAATTTAAAAGATCTTCATAGTTTGGGTAGAAGTGTTTGAAGAAAAGAAGCAAGTTGTATATTAGACCCATGTAGCTTTTTCCTGTGTTCTTTCCATAGGATCAGGCCATCTTTAGGACAGTGTACACAGGCCACTGTAGAATATGGTGATGCTAATGAAGTGGACAGGAGGGGATTTTGGCAATAAGACAGAATATGTGTGCATGTTTGAAATGATACCATTTTTACAAAATGTATATGTGAGATACACATTTCTGAATTATTAAAGGATTCTTTCTGAAAAATACTTGTTTTAATAGTAATGTAGACATATATCTTCTGTTGGCTACAGTTCATGTTTTTTTTTTAAATGGGGACCTTCATTTGATTAAGATTTTCAAAATTGTGTCTCCACAAGGCCTAAAATAAAGTAGACTAAATGTTACCAAAGTTGGTTGGAAGTATTTTTCAGTATTAAAAGCTTACTACTTGACTTTATCTGTGTCACGGTCGACAATGCATTGGATTATATTGGCCTATGTGCCCAAGTACCATAGGAGGATTCATGTAGAAAAGTGTGGGTCTCGCTGCCACCTTTGAATTTAACCGTCTGAACCAGAAAGCTATAGAACCAGAGGTAGGTACTTTTAATTATTCATTTTGCAGTATTAACTTGGTTCAGTTTCTATTGGTCCATCTGTATGTTATGTAGTACCAAGTTAGTATTAAATGGGATCCCAAAAAATTCTACATTATGCACCTGAACAGACTCAAGACTTCATTCTTTCCTTAGAGATTTGAATGGTCTGGGACAGCAGTCGCCAACCAGTGGTCTGCGGACCGCTGCTGCTCCGTGGGGTCCAAAAGTTTGGCAACCGCTGGTTTAAGGAAACCTGTGGAGCAGCGGTTGCCAACCAACCGGCGGACCACTGATGGTCCGTGAGGTCTGAAAGGTTGGCGACCACTGGTCTAGGACACCTACTCCTTCCCAGAGTTCATCATCAGCCATGCGTTTTGCCCTGGCCCTCTGATGCTTGGAAGATCTTTCTCCTGCACATTGAGCTTGTAGGTTATATTTGAGAAGTGCTATGTCAGGCCAATTGGATATATTTTTCCCTCTGTGAGATTTTCCCTTTGTGACTTCTGTGTCAAATTGGCTACTTATAACTAGACGAAACAAGTTTTTGATTGTCTTGCTTCTTCAGGGTTAGGCTTTGAAAATCAAGCTGTATTCTTCCCTATGCATCATTGGCAGTCACCAACAATAATGACAGCTCATGGTTATCTTGTGACAGTTATCTGCCTATTTTTATAAAAAACAATCTTAATATGAAGAATGCATCTTGATTTCAGAATCCTTCAGGGCAGAGCAGAACAGTAAGCCTCTTTATTCTGGACACTTGAGTAGGACAGTCATCGTGGGGAGGCACACAGGCTGTAGTTTCTCTTTACAGAGAAGAGTGCTTGTGGAGAATAAGATGAAATAGAAGACACTTTCACATTGTGTTTTCTCTGGGACAACCTGGTCCATAAGAGCAGAAGTCCTAGGATGGTTAAGAGATGTTCCACATGCTGCCAAAATCAAAATATGTTTTTTTTATAAAATATATTCTTACTGATTTCAGAGAGGGAGAGAGTAACATCAGTGATGAGAGAGTCATTGATGGGCTGATTCCTGCACGCCCCCTAATGGGGATTGAGCCTGCTGCAACCCAGGCATGTGCCCTTGACTGAAATTCAACCCAGGACCCTTCAGTCCACAGGCCAACGAAAGCTCTATCCACTGAGCCAAATGGGCTAGGGCTCAAAATGTATCTTCATTCTGTGTGAAAGTGAGGATTGCATAGAACCTTTTTCCTTTCCTTTTTGACCAATTTAAATGTTAAAAACTCTATTTGAAGTGAGACAGAAGAAGGCAAGTTTGAACATGAGCATGCCTGACTGGTGGCACGCCAGTTCTTTCTCTCAGCCTCTAGTGGATAGATCCACGCACCCCATTCCTCGCTAAGAGTGGGACAGTAAACCTGCAGTTGTTTCTGACTATTTAGTTAAGTACAGGTGAAAGTTAGCCCTTTGTTATGATAATTACATAAATTTAAGCATGACATGAAATAATGTCGGTTCTTTATCTTTCCTTATACCAATTAGACTCCTTAAAACTGGAATTAAAAACAAAAAAGCATTTTCTCTACACACAGATATCTCAGTTATTACCTTGTATGTACCTCTAAGTACTAGATTTGAGATTCTGCAATGATTAACCCATATTTTAACAATGTTTTGGTGAATTTGAGTCAATATTTTCTTTGGACACTTAATACGGTGACTTAATTGTCGCTGTTGCTTTACTTTTCTAAGAATAGTGGCTACTGTGGTTCTCTTATGTTCAGAGCCAAAAGTGAGGTCTGTGAAGTCCTCAAATGCCGGCTCTGCCTGCCCTTCAGCTCTGTCTGGAGATATAATTACAGGGCTGGGTTGCCATGGTGCTCCACCAACATGCACTTTTTATTCCCCTGTTGAAGAAGATGCAGGAGATGGTGGGTGGTAATTTGCATTCCTCTCAGAAATAAAGGACAAGTCTTAGTTTCCCAAAAAAAGCTGAAAATATCAAACACTTGAGTTCACAAAACCTAATCGACTTGTTGAGAAATCTAGACCATTTAGCAACTGCATTATTTTGGAAGCATTTTAGATTAATAGGAGTTTTGAGTCAAACCCCAAGATTACGGAGGTTTTATATAGAATTTTGCCATTAGTGGGTCACTGCAGGAAACTGAGGCCAATATTTTTACTTGAAGGAGTCACAGGAGACCTGGTTCTGAAATTTGGAAATCAGCTTCCAGTTAATATTTTTCCTCTCATCTGGGTACTAAAATAAAGCAAGTCTGCGCTTTGGAACTTGAAATTCTTTTGTGTTTTTGGAGCTAAAGCCAATTTGTTCATATTT